CCATTAAAGCTATAAAAAGGGGCTTATATAATTTTATAATTCACTGGACTTTCTAGGAATATATTAAAATTTGTAGGTAATCTATCGATTCTAGTTTCAAAAGCTAAGGTTTCTGGCCCTATGCTAATAAATTGCTTTTTTCTAGTTTCAAATGTAAATAAAGCCATTACGCAGGAACAAAAGTATATATTAATTGATAAACACAATGCAAGAAAAAAATTAAGTTATAGTCATGAATTCTGGTCACCTGTCCATCCACATCTTCCTCTTCTATAAAATCCACACATGGCAACACTGTAATTTCTGTTTTAACCCAGAAAAAAAAAAATGTTAAGCTAAAGAAAAGCTATATAGCATGACTCAGATGATTCTTAAGAGAGCTAAGCAATGTAAAACAGGCTTGCCAACTTCTTAGTGCTCAATTCACTTAGCTTTGTAAACCTTCCTCTCAAAAAGCCACACTGAACTTTAATATTTAACCAGTTTTACTAGGAAAGGTAGGTGAAGACCTTTGTCTGCAAGTTTCTTTTCACAGCCCTGTGATCATCTCATGCCACATGCCCCTTATCTCTGCTACCCTGAGCTTTACATTTTGAAGTGCCTAGAAATAAAGCTTGACAAAGTCTCCAGTCCTCCCAGCAAGCAGGATAAGTATGACCATGCAGGCTCACTGTCCCTGATCCTTTTGGACCAGGCTCCTTCCCTCAGAATGGCTGTGGCTGTACTTCTGGGGGACCAGCTTACGCCAGGTATTTGGCTGACTTTATTTCTCAACTTACAGTGACCCTGCAAGACAGGTTTTTATTGGCCTACATACAGAGGAAGAAACAGCAAGATTATGTAATTCTACCCAGGTAATATAGCTAAGAAATAATGGAAGAAGGAGTTATCTTCCACCTATTCCAACCTGCTCTCTGTCTCCTTTTCCTCCCCTTACCTCTTCCTTCCAGATGTGAACACATCCACAGACTCTGCTTTCATTTATTGGTGGATATTTTGGATGAACCCAAAAGATGCCAGACCTTATATTTTGCTGTTTTTATTTATAAGGAGCATTGGTGACTATAAAAGCTTTTATACCTTTCCTGAATCTTAACTGATATAGAATATTTAAATTCCTGGAAAATGATTAATAGATGTTAAATATTTAACCCCCAGACCTCCCCCTTGAGTTCTAGGAAGGCTATAGAGTCCAAAGGATGCTAACTAGAGATGTAATGCCTGGGAAAACACTTTGTAGCTTTGGTTCCCAAACTGGGGTTCCTAGAGTCAGGCAGCTACATACACCCACGACAGCCAGACAGCAACATATTCCCACAACAGCTAGACGTCTGCTGTGGCTTCCTGTGCCTTGCTCCCCATTCTCTTTGTAATCACAGCACAGCCAATTGGAAATTGTATTCTAATAGCAGTCTTCTCTGCCCCAACTGAGCAGTTTATTGTTGATTTCTTTTTCCTTCCATGTCCCAGGCATTACCTCCTGCCCTTCTCTATTCTGAACCCAGCATGGGTTCTGAACACAGACCCAGACCTTCTCCACTCTAGCTGCACATTAGAATCAATCACTTTGGGAGCTTTTCAAAAAAATACTGTTGCCTAGTCCTAACCCAGACCAACTGAATCAGAATCTCTGAAGGGCTGAGAGCCTGAGTAACGGCTGATTTTAAAAGCTCCCAGATGACTCTGGCCACAGTGAGGGCTGAGCACTAATGGGCCTGAGTAGGTTTCAGAAACATACACTGCAGGTGCACGTTCTCCCCAGAGGGTTCACCTCTTTCTTTTAACAATGTGTGCCCCTTTGCCTGCTTCCTCTGCATAGCCTCAACAAGGTTATATACAGGAAGCAGAAGGGAAGGCATGAGCATGCAGAAATTAGGCTTGGCTCACTGACAGGGGTAAAAGAGACCCTGTGCAGGTCCAATCAAGACAGAAGATCAACTGGAAAGTAAGTAAAACTTTCTTTCTGGCTAAGAACCACACACTGGGAAAGCCATTAATTGAATTTAATTAGTATAAACTGCTGCTTAGACTAAGGTGAACAGCTAGTTCATTTATTCACTACTGAAATTGGCCCTTATCCCAGTAAATTTTCACTTCTTTTCACCTCTTAGTACTTAAGCCACAGTGGGTGTTATTAGTTAAAATATCATGGTTCTGCTAAGTCGCAACATAAAACAATATTTTGAACACATCCAGAAGGGTTTAACAAGTAGCTGGAAGGTAGCTGTTAAATATACATATTAAATAAGTTGGAAAACTTCTGTCTTATAGAAACCAATATTCTCTTTTATCTGTAGTACAGTTGCCTCTTAATGAAACAGCTTATTACATGTAGTTAACGGATAGCTCAGGATAGGAATTTAACAATGTGTCACTTAACCTCTTGCAGTGTCTTTATCAGTATTTAATGACTTTAAAAATACAAACTTCAAGGTGTTGCTGTTGTATTATCTAACCATCGTAGCAACATTTCGTGAGCTCTCACTATTTGCCAGGTTATGAGTGCCGTCCATGAGTTATGTTATGCAGTGGATATTCTATTAACTTAATTTACACAAAAGAAACAGGCTGGGCAAAGTGCCATGACTTAGCATAGGTCACAGAGAAGATTCCAAACTAGGTAGTATGACCTTTTAACCACTGCACTGTGAGCATAATACTCATAAAGGCTGGCACATAACAACCTCTCAATAAATGGCTGTTATTGGGGGAAAATGAGGACAATGTCACATGGCTTTTCTCTCCACCTGGCAAGAAGAAAAATCAATACTCATTCTTTATTTGCCTGCAGGATATTTTTACTTGTTTTAAGTAAAAACAACTAATAATAAAAGCCACCTTTGTTCAGTATTTACTATGTGTCTCTGTTCTAAGTACCTCTCAAGTATTAACTAATTCATTGTCTACAATGAGCTAATAAGATAGGCATTATTATTATTATTATTATTATTATTATTATTATTTTGAGACTGAGTTTCACTCTTTTTGCCCAGGCTAAAGTGCAATAGTGTGATCTTGGCTCACTGCAACCGCCACCTACTGTGTTCAAGTGATTCTTCTGCCTCTGCCTCCTGAGTAGCTGGGATTATAGGCACTCACACCATGCCCAGCTAATTACTATATTTTTAGTAGAGATGGGGTTCTGTCATGTTGGCCAGGCTGGTCTCAAACTCCTGACCTCAGGTAATCCACCTGCTTCAGTCTCCCAAAGTGCTAGGATTATAGGGGTAAGCCACCACACCCAGCTGGCACTATCATTATTATTCCAATTTTGCAGATGAGGCAATGAAGGCACATGAGGGTCAAGCAACTTGCCCAAGTCACACAACTAGTGAGTGACAAAACCAGGATCTGAACCTGGCAGTCTGGCCGCAGAGCCCTCTCTGCCTGCCACCACCTGTCCATCTGTGGTCATGGAGCTGAGTCCAGTGAGATTCCCAACCTCATTCCTTCCTTCCTTCATTCCTTTGTTCATTCAACAGAGACTGAGAGATGACTAAGTTCCTGAAATTCACATTTAGGTGAGAGATATAAATAATGAATTCCAACTCCAAAGGAGAAGGGAAGCAATGGGAAGCTGTACAAAGGCCAGCAGGCACCAAACTCTGCCCTCCGTGCTCCCCAGCTGCTTGTGCTTCTTTGTGCTCCCCAGTCTGTAGCCATAATTACCAATAGCACACCACTCCAGCATGGCTTCTGAGCTTTGCTCTTGCTCTCTGCTCCTCGCTCTCTCCCGATACACCCACAGGTCCCAGAGGCGAACTTTACAGTGTGTCAGACTCTGTGTGAAGCACTCTGCGTACATTAGCTCATTTAATGCAACCACACAATGAAGCAAACATTATTATCTCCATTTTACATAAAAGGAAACTGAGGCTGGGGAAACTAATTGGTGTGCTGGTAAGTGGCAGAGTTGCCTCTTTTAATCATTACCCTACACTACCTCATGAACCTGAAACACACATGAGTCCAGAATACGGTTGGTGGTCGTTTTCTTGAAGGCTGAAAAGCTCTTTACCACAGATTTCCATTTCAAAGCTGCAGTGTTTCAGGAAGAGATTTCTTTTTTAAAAAGTAGCTCTTTTCTGAGTGTTCTAATGGTGGAATAGGCAATATGGGGTTGGTAGGCCAGGAAACTGTCATCACCTCTCTTCATTATACTAATTGCTCTGAAGACGAAATAAGGTTTGTTTCTCCCTTCTTATCCTACTTACAGTCCCAGCTCTGCTACTTCAGAATAGTATCTGCTACGGGTCAAAGGAGGTTTCTCCCCGCTCATTACAGAGACTAAAATAGGCCCATAGTATGTGAACAACTCACCCTGGTCAGCAGGCAGTGGGAGGTAGCCCAATGTCCCAGCAACTGTCCTCATTTGTCAGGGTGCCCCAGTGGCTGCCCTTTATTTCAGCCAGACATGCCTCACTCTCTCCTATACAAGCAGTTCTCACTCTAACCTTTGTATAATACTTTTTTCCACAATTTTTTCCCATCCTACAACAGCCTCTTCCTCTCAATATCCACTACCTTATCTGAGCACATTTAAACCTCTATGACCACTCCAACTCCTAGTCTCGCTCACCTTTACTGTCACTACCTTAGACTTCACCAGAGATAAGAATCAGTGTCCCATTTTACGACCTAATTGTGCCACGTGCGTTGCACTTGGCTGCTGCAACAAATGCCAGCCTGCTCAGGCAGGGCCAGGTCTTCTATTATAATACTATGGGGATATTCTCATAGCAGCGTAGTTCTGAGGCCTTAGGAGAGCTGGATACATAGTTTGTGGCTGAAGTCTGTGTAATCTACCAGAGTTAAAGCATCTCTTTTCTGCATGTTTTCAAACAGGAATGCTGACTTCTACATGTAATGACATATAGACTCTACACACACCTCTCACATCCTCTCAACCCACCTCTTACTCCAGCCCCCTCTACAGCCTGTTTCCCCTAGCTGTCTCTTTGGTCCCCACCCCGCTGAGAAACAGCCTGACAGTGCCTCACCTTTTGCCATGCTGTGCACCTGCAGCTTCCAGCCTCAGGGCTTCTCAGAGGCAAAGCGTGGGACCATGCCTGAAACTCACCACTGCTGTAGAAGAGTGCAGAGGAGTTAATAACACTAGGATCTCCCTTAGCAACAGAGAAGGATAAACGTCCATGATAAACGCTTTCCCCTTTTGTCCTCGGACAGACAGTTCTGAGGCTCTCTGAGGTTCCTGCAGCACTGAGCACCTTTTGTTAAGGCAGTGGCCAAGGCAACCACTTCCCCTTCTTCCCCATTTGGCTCTGACCTTCAATCCTGTTCCCTGATGGGCGTCTCCTTCCAGGCTCTGCTTTCTGCCCTCCCCCACCCACTTATGTTTTAATGACTCAGGGTCCAGTTTTCTGTTTCAAGGTCCCGCTGAGGAAAGGTCTTATATGAACCTGTTCTCAGAATATTAAACGCTTCCAGCATTCTGCTGGTTTTTTGAAGGACAGATAGAAGGATCACATTCTAGCCCGGGCTGTCCTACTTACTAGAGAGTAACTTCTGCTGGGTTAAGAAGCAAAGCACTTCGACTTCCTGGGCAGGGTTTCTCAGCTGTAAAATGGGATAACAGGGACCCCGGCTACTTTGCGGGGCTTGGGGGATCAAAGGCGATGGGAACAGGAGGTTACCTCAAAACCTAAGGAGCTGAACAACAGAGAATCTTTGGGTTACTCTAGGGCAAGGAAGGTGGAGACCAAGGCGTGGGCCCTCAGGGGTCTCCAGTGCTCCACATTTCAGAGGAGTCCAGGGCGCTCCCAAAGCGCCTGGGTCTCGGAGCAGCTGCCGGCTGCAAACCCGCGGCGTTTACCAGAATCTGGGTAGTTTGCGAACCCGGATGTCAGGCTCCGTGTCCTGGAGATTCTCAAATCGCTCACCCCCAGCTCCTCTCCGGCCTACCCCAGAAAGGAGAGAGCGGGGCTGCGAGCGGGGGCCGCGGGGGGAGCGGGGAGTGCGTCCGGGGCAGCCTCCCTGCTCCAGTCCTCACCCCGCACGCAGGAATTTCTGGGATGGGCAGATGGCCCACCCCTCCTCCTCCGCCTTCCCCAAGCCGCAGAGGGCAGGGCGGGGAAAACCTCCGCGACTTCGCCGCGTCCCAGCCCAGAGCCCCGAGTGTCGGTTCACTGTGGCGGCAGGGGTGGCGGAGTGGGTCTCCAGGGCCAGGGGGCGGCGGGGCCCCTGGAGGGATGGGGCTCGGGGGAGGCTGCGGGTCCGCCTCGGCGCCGCAGGGCCGGGTGTTTGGGGCGCGGCTCTGGGCTCCCGGGACCTGGGACGCCCGGCGAGCCCAGTGGTTAGCGATGCTGCTGTGGCTGCTGCTGCTGCTGCTGTTGCTGAGGGCGCCGCGGGGCTGCGCCGAGGGCGTGGCGGAGGGGCTCTCCCCTGAGCGGCTCCTGGAATGGCGCGGTGAGTCTCCTCAGGGCCGGGGACTGGGGAGAAGGGCCGGGTGGTCGAGCGAGAAGAAGCAGCTGCGAAGCTAGGGGCCAAGCGGGCGGGCGAGGGCGGCCGCGTTTGTGGGGGTCGTCTGTAGGCAGTCCCTAGTATGGGGTGGGGGTGGTGTCCTGCAGCCTCTTGTCTGGGCCCAGCACCCCACTCCCGCGGCCCGGCACCCTCCTGGCTTCTGCGGGGATGGGGGGACCCGGGGCGGGGCTTGATCTCGCCAGCAACTCCGCTAGGCTGTGGCACCCGGAGTCAGCCCGGGATAGGAGGGTCGGAGAAGTTTCAGAATGGAAACTTACCGAGAGCTGCTTATTTGGGACGACCACATCTCGGATAAATGATGGCAAAAAGATGGCTCAGTTCGTCCCCTTGCAAAGCAAGCTGATACCTGCAGAGTCACCCCAAGCCAGGCCTCCCCAGTCCACCCCTTTCGGAAGAAAACTTTGTGGGTTTTTGTTTTGTTTTGTTAGAGACAGGGTCTTACTCTGTCGCCAAGGCTGAAGTGCAATGGCGGGATATCGGCTCACTGCAGCCTCCACCTCCTGAGCTCAAGGGATCCTCCCACCTCAGCCTCCGGAGTAGCTGGGACCACAGGTGTGCACCACCATGCCTAGCTAAATTTTTGTATTTTTGGTGGAGACAGGGTTTCGCCATGTTGCCCAGGCTGGTGTTGAACTCCCAGGCTCAAGTGATCCGTCCACCTCTGCCTCCCAAATTTCTGGGATTACAGTCATGAGCCACCATGCCCCGCCTGGAAACATCAGACCAGGTGAGGGAGAGGAGCCTCAGTGGCTCCATGAGCTGTGTGATGCGGAGCTTTTGTGCCTTAGTCTTTCTCAGTGGAAAATAGGGTTTGATATATACAGGGGAACCCTGAGAATTATGTTATTCCCCAAACACACTCGTGTGCACACGGATCAATTCAGCAAACACTTACTGAGCACCTACTACACATGAGACTCAAAGGGATGTGTAAAGAGATGGGAGGAGAGATTTCTGGCCTGCATGGCCTGCATTTGACAATAGGCACTTCAGGCAGAGAAGCCTGTGGCTAAGGGCAGAAGTCCATATATGCAAGTAGGAGGGGGCAGGAGGGAGTTAAATATGCCAGAAGGAGCGTCCAGACAGCCTCCATCCTCTCTGCCTTTAGAGATAAGTTTGGAGAGACATTTTCCTCCTCAGTAGAATATGTCTACATTTTTGAGGCAATCTTTTCGAGACTGTGTTTCCTAAGCTCCCTGGACGCTTAATCAGGGGCAGGTAGAACAAGACCATTCTTATTCAAAGGTGACCAGAGTCAGAGATGCTCTTACCTTCTTGGCCAATTCAGTGAAAATTGCTCCTGTGGATGCACATCTGATCCTGTGGTGTGTCTTGTTCCTTCCCACTAGGTTTACCATGCAGTGGTTATTCCTTTGCATTTTAAAATGTGGGGCTTGCCTGGGCACTAGGTGGTAGAACAGTGCATAGCTCACAGGACAGAAGTTGGACTGGGCCACACAGAGAGTCTGTGCTGGTGATCCTCCCAGTAAAGGGCTAATCCCTTCTATAGGTAGCAGCCCCAATCCTGGCCTGAGACAAATCCTCATCAGTGCCTTCTTTTTAGCAGTCAAGGGTACTCTGAAATTAGAGCCATCTGCTAGCTTTTGTACCTTCCAAATGTAGTTTGCAAATCTGAAAGGGTTGACATAGTTGGCACAGAGATTCTTCACATATGAAAATGCTGCTGCTGATTTTCCAAGGAGAACAGAGGTTATGTACCAGTCCTCATACAGGCTCCCTGACCCCAGTCACCTGCATCAGTAGAACTTCTAGTATAGGCTGGACAGGTTTGAAATCAAGTTTTTCTTAAGATGTGCAGATTGAGGTATGGCTGCCGTGTAGTTAGCCATGTTGTGGGGTGCCTCAGGTTACCACTGTGTTCACTGTATCACATGGACTCACTTTAGCCATGATTGACATCCACAGAACAACTGAGAGAAAAATGCACACTCATTTTCGTTTCCTATCCACTAATAATGGCTATATAATAATGCACAGCAGATTATACATACAGTATTTTTTATCTGAATTGTTTGATATGTATTATTTCTATGTCTGATATGTATTATAAGCATGTCAGTCTTGGGAAGCAGATGATGGATTGTATTGTGCTGATTTTCCAATGATTTATCAATAATTCTTGATACGATTTGGCTGTGCCCCCACCCAAATCTTAACTTGACTTGTATCTCCCAGAATTCCCAAGTGTTGTGGGAGGGACCCAGGAGAGGTAATTGAATTATGGGAGCCGATCTTTCCCATGCTATTCTCATGATAGTGAATGAGTCGCATGAGATCTGATGGGTTTATCAAGGGTTTCCCCGTTTTCTTCTTCCTCATCTTTCTCTCTCTGTGGCCATGTAAGAAGTGCCTTTTGCCTCCCACCATAATTCTGAGGCTTCCCCAGCCATGTGGAACTGTAAGTCCAATTAAACCTCCTTGTCTTCCCAGTCTTGGATATGTCTTTATCAGCAGCATATAAACAGACTAATACAATTCTGTATTCAAAAGTCAGTAGATACAGTATGATACAGTAGTTACATTTTCAGGCTTCAGAGCTAGACTGTCTGAGTTCAAATCCTGACTATACCATTTACCATCTCTGTGACCCAGGACAAGTTACTTAACTTGTCAATAGCTCAGTTTTCTCATCTGTAAAATGGAGCTAGTAATAGTACTTATCTAAGTGTTGTTGTTTTGCTGCCCTCTCACCATTGTCCCCTCTTCCTCTGGCCAATCCAGACCATTTTGACAAGTTGACATCCCTGTAACAATTGTTTACTAGCCTGTGCCCAGCACTGTACTTGGTGGGTCTGATGCTCATCTCCTACCTCTAATTTAAGCATCCCTAACCTCTGGGCCACCTACCAGTTTATGGCCTGTTAGGAACTGGGCCACACAACAGAAGGTGAGAGGCAGCAAACAAAAGAGGCTTCATCTGTATTTACAGCTGCTCCCTATCCCTCACATTACTGCCTGAGCTCTGCCTCCTGTCAGATCTGTGGCGGCATTTGATTCTCATAGGAGCATGAACTCTATTGTGAACTGTGCATGTGAGGGATCTAGGTTATGCACTCCTTATGAGAGTCTAATGTCTGATGATCTGTCACTGTCTCCCATCACCCCAAATGGGACCATTTAGTTGCAGGAAAAGAAGCTCAGGACTCCCACTGATTCTACATTATGGTGAGCTGTATAATTATTTCATTACATATTACAATGTAATAATAATAGAAATAAAGAGCATAATAAATGTAATGTGCTTGAATCATCCCAAAACCATCCCCCACCCCACCACCCCACCAGTCCGTGGAAAAATTGTCTTCCACAGAACTAGTCCCTGATGCCATAAAGGCTGGGGATCTCTGCTCTAGTTGGATACTCCAAGGAGCCTGATTGTGGTTTGTTTTCCCTTATCAGAATCTGAGCCCTTCTTCTAGCAAGTGCTAAGACATGCTAACTTTACCCACTCAAGTACTCCAGATACAAAGAGGGCAGGGGGAAGAAAGAAGAAGGGGGTGGAGCATCCTGGTGAAAGGTGGGCATAGTCATTCATAGCAGCGAATAATCATTGCTAAAGGAAATGATCGGGGGCAAGTAAAAGGGTTTTGAAGTTTGTTGAGGGTTGAAAAAATGATAAATATGAAATGGTCCCCAGCTAATATCATAGGAGAGTTTGCTTCTGCAGTGCTCAACTTTCCAGAGCAGAAGTGGAGATTATCTAAGTCTGTGTCAGTGTCTGGGAACTCTCAGGGT